CGATGCACATGCATGTGGTACCAATGGAGCAAAACTCCCAACTTAGAAATCTGCCAATTAATAGAGGCATCAACAAGGCACAAGCCTTCAACTTAATATTTTTCCAATCCAGGCCAACTTAACGAGCATCGGCTCCAACTTGATATGCGATGTATGCGACACAACATGAATGTAACAACAACAACAACAAACAACTCAACACAAATCAACATTAGCCATAAGCCTATAACATCAACAACAATTCAACATTAACTTAACATAAATCAATGTTGGCCATAAGCCTACAACATCAACAACAATTCAACATCAACTCAACATAAATCAACATTGGCCATAAGCCTACAACTTATCTGCCAAGAATTAGAGGCATTTCAACAACATCAGTATATCCTGCAACTTCGTATCGTCAACAATATTGACATTACAACAACATAGTAAAATTCACAAATACAATCAGAACCCGTTGTAATAACACTACATAATTATTCAACTATACATCTATATTCGACTATTAGACATTCAGCGACGATTTCTCTAATATTAACCTACCGCAGCTATTATATAAGCTAGTACTGCTATCAGCAAATTATACTACTGCTAGTACTATTAATTAATTCTCTATTGTTGTTTTATTGCTAATAGCTTCTTGTTACTATTTCACAATTAACTCCTACTGTCAACTTATTCCTACAACATGTATTATGATTTTATATTGTTAATAGTTTTCTGATAAGGTTCCTGCAATTATATCCTACTACCATGAATCATTTCCTACTACCATGAATTGTCTCTGCTATTGTTTTACTGTTAATAGCCCACAACTTGGTTTTAGCCAATCAATACAGGCAACACAACAAAATTCACCACTACCTGCAACTTCGCAATTAACAACAACATCATCACAACAACTTAATAATTGCCCCTGCTAAGCATTTTGACTCTGTCATCTATTAACCCTACCTACTACATATGTTAAGCTACAATTTGTTTACTTCGGTAACTAACAAATAGTCTCTACTACTTAATTAAACTTGCTGCTAATACACATTTACTATTTGCTAATAATTAGAACTAATAAAGTAACAGGTCCAGGAACAGACAGAACAACTGAAAAACAGAGTTTTAGGGACGTGCCCCTCGTCACACCTAGGGTTCCCCTCGGTACAAAGCTAAAAGGTCGTGCCGCTCGTCATGGAGTTGTGCCGCTCAGCACACTTCTCTCCAAGCCATGTCGGTCGGCATGCTCGTGTGCACCTCGGCATAGAGTGTTTCTCTCGCCTCTTCTTCACAGACTTATTGATTCCAACACATAATTCTCCAAATCTTCCTTCGATTAACAATATTTTCACGACAACATGATACAACACAATATTACACTGACATTGCAACATAACAGCTATATCGGCAATATTATAATTTCCAACAACAAATAATTAATTTTGCGAACAATTCAGGAACATCCATAATATGATAACACATGATAACAAATAATTTCAGAAACAACAACAATAACATACGCACAACAACATTACACCAATCCAATTCCTATATAATATGCATCATAATTCCCATTATAGAGTCATAACCCCACCCTTACCTCAGATTGAAGGTCGCTCTACAATTTTCCGATCGAACCTAACTTTGTCTCTTTTCCTTGTTCCTCTTCTCTTCCACTTCCTACGTTACTGCATTAAACTTTCTTAATCTTTCTAATTAACCTAATTTCTTATTATTATATCTAAACCTAATAATAATATTATTATTCCTAATGAGCTCAACTTACACACCCCCACCTTACTACATACCACCATATAAATAAACTCAACAACTTAATCTTATATTATTTTAATATTATTAATATTCTAAAATTCTAATATTATTACTAATATTATTATTCAACTAAAATAATCAACTAAATAACAACTTACCAACATATAACAATATTTCACACATTTCAATAAATAATTCGAAAATAATTTAATTAAATAATTAATTAAATTATCAGGCGTTACAACTCTTCCCCACTTAAAATATCTTCTCCTCGAAAAGCTACACAATACTACCATTCTAACGCGAATTTCGCATCTCATTCTCTGATTCCCAAGTCGCGTCTGGCAACACTTTGACCACTACCTTCTCGATATAACAATAACTCAACACAATTTAAATCAAATACACACATGCTAATCATTCAACACCTTCGTGACATAATCGTTAATAACTTATCGACCACTTCAACAATATCTTGACATATTAACATTTAAAGTAGTAACAACCATAACACACTTATATTTGGATATACAACATCACATTATCATCTTAACAATATTTTCAACATCAAAACACATACACAATTTCACTCTCAAATATATTTGTCAATTATCAACAAAATATCAACAACTCTATTCATATCGTCGTATCACCCTTATAATAAAATCAACATAGCCAACACAATCAACTTCGTCATATTATGGAGTACTATTCATCATTTATGGTAACCAACAACAACATCACGACAACGGGAACAAAATCATTATAACGTCAACTTAACAATATAACTCAACAAATATACACACAACTCACCATTAACCAACAACCACATTAATATCCTTATAAAATCAACAAATATTTATGAGAAAACACAGTACATTGACACATCATCCCTATATAAACAATCCACCAAATCAAACATGTAGATCAAAACATATCATTTCCATAGGCTTCTGATATTTGGTCTTTCACTTCTAACGAGTCATACACACATACAACTGCGCCACATCACGCTTCAGCTGTGCAACTCTGATCATCCATCTTAAGTCACTGTCCTCATTAAAATTTCCGTCAAATATATGGTTTACAAGTTTCAACCTAGTTTCAAACTTTCTTTAACATCCACCATAAAATCGTTGGTCACTTGATATTCTTAATCTTTCACTTTGCGATGATAGCTTGCATATAAACCTGCTACTCCAAATTGTTCAATACGTCTAAACTCTTTCCTAGCCACTCCTCTATTACTTCACACAAATGGGTGAGCGACTATCCTCACGATATAACATCAATCACTTCACACACTATTAAGGCAGTAAGACAAATTTATACCATCCAACACGATCTCGTCTACTATCAACAAGAGATTAAGGGTGATCAGTTTCTCAATTTGTCAATAGATATCCGACAACCATAATGGAGTATAAACCATCGTTATCAAACTATAATAGTGTTTCTTTAGAACTTGTACTCAAGTCACCTAAAGCACCATAATCCAATAATCTCCAAGGAGGTTTACAAATACTCCCATAATTTCCCTCAAACTGCCTTCGGGATTACCGACTGACCCCACAAACCAACACAAGTCTTTTTCAGCATGCTTTGGCCTCACTCGCACGCTTTCTGAGAAACTTCCCAAAAGTCACCCATCCCAATATTGCTCCAAGTCAAGCACACTTAACTGTGGAGTTCTTATAGAACGAGCTACCGAAAAGAAGTTGCATCTTGTTGGTATAGATAGTACCAATTAATCTTTATAAACCTTCCATCAACCATGCAATCCCATACATGCATAGCCTCAGGATCCCTCTCATTCTGATGTGGTAACCACCCTTGCCCTATTTGGCCTTGGGTGTTAGATGTGGTGCAACCATCCCTCGTCCTTTTCGGCCTCGAGTGTTACATCTTTCTCCTCTATCCCTCACAGTTACTCATACTCTTCAGGGTTTTTGTGATGCTGACTAGGCTTCAGATCCAAATGATCGAAGAAGTACTTATGACACAATTATCTTTTTGGCTCTAATCTCATCACTTGGTGGTCTAAAAAGTAGCATATGGTGGCAAGATCTAACACCAATGCTGAATCTAGGAGCCTGACCCAGGCTAATACTGATCTTCTGTGGGTACAAATACTAGTTCAAGAATTATGAGTCTTCATAAAATAACCTGTTATCCTATGTGACAATCAGTAAGCTGTCATGTTGGCTCACAATCCCATCATGCACTGAATGACCAAGCATATGGAGTTTGATTTGTTTTTTGTTAGAGAAAAAGTCATAGTCAAGCAAATGCAAGTGATGCATATTCTTAGTGTTGATCAGCTAGTTGATGTCCTCACAAAGCCTCTAGCTTCATCCCAATTTTTAAAACTGAGACATAAACTCAGGGCCATTGACTCCCTATGAGTTAGGGGTATTAAAGATATGCTAGGATTGTTTAGGCTTTACCATCTATATGTAAAAGAACTAACAAAAATGTCAGTATACTAGTTGTTACCCGTTATAGCAAGTCATCACTTTGCACAAGTATACAAGCAAAATGATACACTCTTTTGTAACTAACTTGAACACAATAATAGAATTTTGTTATAATCTATAATGAGAACTACTTCATTTTTTAATAAAGACAAATTAGATGAACTAAGGTACTTGAGGACGAAGGGAGATTAATCTTTGATCATGGGCATCATCTTGGAAGTACGAGCTACAAAAAAGGTTGCAGAAGAGCCATAATGAAGGTTTCTAAGACTGGTACTCGATGCAAAGCCAGGACACTATCATGAAAATCTAAAATTTAAGATAAAACTATGAGAGAGCAACTTTTAGATAGTCTATCACGACTACCTCAAAACCAGAGAAAAGCAAACGTATCCTTACCTGATAAAGATACACTCTTACAAAAGAACTAAACAACCCTTGAAAGAGCTACATATGCTCTCATCCAAGCATACTAATAATTTAAAGAAAATATGTATAGTATTAATTAAATACTATAATTAAAAAATAAACATTTTTAATAAATGATAAATATTGTGACACAAAGATAATATTACAAACAAAAAACTTTCATCCTTAAGGAAAAAGGCTAACGAACTCTTTCTTCTCTCTCATCACGGTTGAATCCCTAACACTAGAAACTTCCATTCATTCTTCAAAAAAAATTAGGGTTTTGCCATAGGGGTTTAGAGGCTTTGCTCGCTCGCAACCATAAACCCTAATCATCTTCTCCAAATGGTTCGCTCTAATGGCGTCAAGCTTCTTCGATCTCTCCCCCCTAAACTCCTCTGCAACAGAGAGAAATCCGTACGCAGTCTCTTTCTCTCACGCTTATTGATTTGTCACCATTTTCATGTGTTCGGCAATTGAATAATTTCGGTGTTTGTGTTTTTTTGTTTTGGTGAATTTCAGTTGTATGAAGGAGTTTTCGAAAGGAGTTACAGGACGTTGAATTCAGGATTTTGTAATTCTTCCAAAGTTATTGGAAGTTGTTATCCCAATGGTATGTCTTATAAAAAGGAATGAAAATCTGTTGAGATGTCAGTTTTTTTCCAGCTACTTAGTGCATGTTTGAATTGACTTCTACAATCTCCAAAATCAATTCTAGAGATATAAAATTGATTCTTGGTGATTTTGAGGTGTTTGATTTATCAAAAGTAGAATTGATTATATTTGAACTAGAATTTGTAGCTTTTGCATCTAGTGATTTTTACAAATTTATTGTTCAAATCACTTTTACATAAATGTATCCAAACATAACTCAATTCTGCCAAACTCAATTCTTTTAAAATTAATTCTACCAAACTCCATTATGCTAGAATCAATTCTATCCACCGTAAATTCAAGTGTATGTTTTGGTTTTGCAGTGAAAAAAATGATTTTGAGGGGATTGATTCTGGAAAATTGATTTTGGTTAAAAGTGACATGAATGTAAAGTGATTTATGTTTGGATAAATTTATGCGAAATTGAGTTGAAGAGTTTTTTAAACTTAAAAACTACAAATTATAGTTTCAAGTAGAAGGCATAGTCAATTCTATTTTAGAAGAACCAAACACCTCAAAATTATTCCAAAATCAACCCTACACCTCTAGAACTGCTTTTTCCTCTTCTAAAAGTTAAACCAAACATTCACTTAGATGACTTGACTGTTATTGGTGTAATTCTAGTTTGCATTTGTATGTTGAATTGAGATTTTTCTTTTACTTTATGAAAGATAAATTAGATTGATGTTGGACTGTTGTGCTACTGTTTTTGTTAATATTTTCACACCTTATACAAATTGCAGTTGGAAATGGTGTTAATTTGAAGAACTGGGTGCTATTGGGAGCAGCAAATACTTATTTTGGGGCATCTAGATCCATTCATGGCTCAGGTATAAATAAAATCCGATATTAAATCATGTGTTCTATTTCATTCACATTTATTTAATGAAGGAGAGATGAGGATGTTGCATTTGATGTGTGTAAAACTAGACAAAATAGGATTAGAAATGAAAATATTAGAGAGAGTGTTGGGGTGACACTTATAGTAGAGAAGATGGTGGAAATAGACTTAGATTGTTTGAGCATGTAGAGAGAAGACCTGTAGATTTTGTGGTACGGAGAGTAGATTAGATGGTGAGAAGTTAATCAATTAGAGGGAGAAGAAGACCTAGACAGATCATAAGAGAAGTTATTAAGAAAGATCTCGAGATTAACAATTTGGGTAGAAGCATGGTCCTAGATAGAACATTATGGCACAAGTTGATCCATGTAGCCGACTCCACTTAGTGGGACAATGCTTGGTGGTGGTTGTTGTTGTTTATGTTATGTAGGACTTGCATTGTGTATTATTGTGGCATCATCATTTTTTCAATGTCTTTATCATCTATGAATATGTGTATCTTTGTTTATTGTCCATAACATGTCGCTGACTTTTTTTTATCATCTTTACTTTTTTCAGCACCATTGGCAAGAGACTTTTACGATGTTCTTGGAGTTAATAAGAATGCAAGTTCTTCTGAAATAAAGAAAGCATACTATGGGGTAGGTTTTACTTAACTAGTGTCAATGTACTTCTATTTTACTACGGGGTAGGTTTTACTTAACTAGTGTCAATATACATCTATTTTCATGTCGAACGTTTTGCAGGGGCACCCAACATACTTATTTCCTGGTAAAACTTTGCAATTTCTTATACATTTCCTTGTTAAAACTCCACGGTTGATTTTTTTGTTTTAGTTTGTCTTACTTTCGTTATTTCCGAAGTGGCTGTATACAAATAATAGTTTGAATTGCTCGAGGAAGAGTTTTTATATCATGTTGCTCTCATATTACTGAAAAAAGTTTTTAATTTGTATTTGGATTCTGCACTTGATACAATTTCTGTACTTCTCTTAGCCAGAATATACACGCTCTTGTTTTATTTTAGAGGTTGCATTTTGCACAAGTTTTATGCTATGCCCAAATAGTTGTGAATATATTGCAGTTACATTATATTCTTTATTCTTTCGTTCTTTCTTCCTTCACATATGGTCTTCAATCACCAAACATAATTTTGATAATTTTGACAAGCATGAGTTACTTGCACAAAATGATTCTAATTCAGTCTCTCTTTATGTTCTTCAGCTTGCAAAAAAGCTCCATCCTGACACAAACAAAGATGATCCTGAAGCTGAAAAGAAATTTCAAGAAGTTTCATTGGCATATGAGGTGTACCCTTGTTCTGGATGCTATTTAATTGTTTACTTAAAATCATTGTATGATTTGTGAACTGACTTTTGGTTTATTGACCTTCCCCATTTTTTTGTGTAATTGCATTGTAGGTTTTGAAGGACGATGTAAAGCGTCAACAGTATGACCAGGTTTCATTTCGTTCCAGGAATTTTCTCTTTGGCTCCTTTGTTGAATGTTTTATCTTGTTTCTATATGAGATAAATAGTAGGATACGTAATTGATTTTGTTCACTAGAAACTGTAATTTGTAGATTAATAGTAATGACTCAGAACATAGTTGCATACAATAAAAATGAAATATAAGGACATAAGTTGAGGACATTTGTTTCGTGGAGATTGGGGAACTGAACCAAAAATTAATAAAGATATTTCAGAGAAAAAAGTAGCAAAGGGGTTGGGGAAGAATGGTACATTTATCGAGTCTTGTTATTATTATCTTATATTTCATTTAGTTATGTTAGTCTGTTTCATTTGATTTAGTTTGACATGGATATGTAGGTTGGCCATGATGCATTTGTAAACCAAGAAAGCAATGGTTTTGGAGACGGTGGTGCTGGTGGATTTAATCCCTTTGAGCAGCTATTCCGTGATCATGTAATGACTTGCCATTCTCTTTATTTATTTATTAATCATATCTTTTAGTAGATCTCTCTTCCCTTTTTATTAGGCCAGTTTGCATTACAGTATGTATTTCATCAAGATTTATTTCATAGCAATATTAAGTAGTCATTCTAGTTCAATGTTTTGTTGTTAAATGCTTTACAAACTTAAACCATCCTACTGCATTAGTTACTAGTTCATTCTTAAGGCGGAAGACAGAATGATCATCTGAGTTATAAAAAAAGTCGTGTAAATATGCATGCTTAAGAATCAACTGTACAAACATTTTTCTGGTATAAAGCATGTTACTTCGTACTATGGGTTTTTTATTGCATTTTTTCTTTTCATCATAGTAGAAGTTTTGTAAGTTATTCATCTCAATAAATTTTCTTGTTATATATCCCATTGAAGACTAATATGTATTTTACTTCTCTGTTTATTCTTTAAATGGCGATCAGGATTTTGTCAAGAACTTCTTTCATCAAAACATTGGCGGACAGGATGTTAAGGTTCTTTTCTTTGATAGAAACTGTAAAATAATGGAGAAAATATCAATGTATTATTGAATTGAAATGGGAATAAGGGTCTGTTACAGCAAAGACAACCAGAGCCAAAGCTCCTACCAGAGGGGATTTCCCCCTTATCAAACTAGAAACAAACTGAATGATCAGTCATGTACCACCCGCCCTCCTAATCATGAGCTCATCCCAATCGCCAACAGAATACTGGGGAAATCTTTTGCTGCATTTAACTAGCTTCATTATCCCTATTTTCTTTCCACTCGAGTAAATATTCCAATCAGAAGATCTTTTTAGGTTCTGGCCCAAGTCAACCTGGTCCACAGGCCCATCTTCCCCATCACTGCCTCCCCCCTACTGCAACAGCCTTGTCCTTAATGCTGAGGGGTGGAAATTGGCTTCTGAGTTTCACCTCGTCCACCAATGTGGTATCTTTAACAATTCTGTTTTTCCACTTCATCAGCCACTGTTTGATTTTCTGTCTTCCGGTTCTTTGTTGACTTCAAGCTCCACTTTCAGACCTTCAGAGAGAGTGGCTGGTAGATATGGAATATTCTATGAAAGGACACGTAAGAAAGGAAGAGAGAGTATAGGATACAATTAAGTTAGTGCTGCACATGGCCTGGCCAGGTGGCAGCAGCTGGTTGGTGGGAACACATAGGAATGAGAGAATAAATGATTGGGGAGGATCTATCGTTAGATTGTGCAGAATTTGAGTGGATTCATTCCCTAAGGAGAGATCAGGCCTCTCGAAGAGCCTCTCCTTTTTTTTATTCCACTTTCTTTATTTTCTGCAAACCTTGTACTACTAGATCCCATATGAACTCTAGTACTTCAATAAAAATCATTACTTTAAAAATCATTACTTTCCTTCTGATTTCTGTGTACTTGTTTTTTGTTTGCCTTGGATATTAAATTGATCTTATCAATTTGGTATCTAGAACCTTGGTTACGCCTATTCAGTGAATGGTTTTTACTCGAAGCATCAAGGAAAACCGAGTTGACAACATAGAGCAGAGGATGAATCAGTTTGAATTGACAATGGAGCAGATTCGGCAGCTGGTACTGGAACAACAGGCGAGACCGCAGGTGACGGTGGATCAAATTCGCCAGTTGATGCAAGAGAGACCCGTTCAGAATCGTGGGAGAAACAGAACACTACATGGTGGGGAGTCCGGCTACGAAGAAGAAGGAAGTGAAAGCAGTGTTATTTCACGAGAATCTAGACCTAGACACCGCCGTGACGATGGCGGAAATGGATCTCGTTTCCTTGGAACAGGCGTCGGTTAGAAATGCCGATTTTCAGAGGCGATGACGCGTATGGATGGCTCGTTCGCGTCGAAAGATATTTCCATCTCAATGGGGTAAGGGTACGTGACAAGCTGGATGCGGTGGTGCTAGTTATGGAGGAAAAAGCCTTGAATTGGTATCAATGGTGGGAGGAGCAAGCACCATTGAAGACCTGGGAGGAATTTAAGGTGGCTGGTCATGCGAAGGTTTCAACCAGGTTTACTACACAACCCGATGGGACTTTTACTCAGTTTGAAACAAAAAGGGTCAGTGGTGGAGTATATGGAAAAGTTTGAAATGCTGGTAGCTCCACTAAGAAGAGAAGAGAGAATCATGTTGGATTCGATTTTCATGAATGGGCTGAAAGAAGAAATTCAGGCTAAGTTGAAGCTTCACGAAAGCCAAAGTTTGGCTGATCTTATGGACAGGGTGTTATTGATTGAAGAGAAGAATGAAGTGTTAACTAAGAAGGGTGGGTCATGGAGAGATAGAAGTGGAACAATGAGGATCAAGGATCCTGCAGAGTTTGAAGGGTATAAAAAGGAAGGTGAAAGAGCTAGTGGTGGAGGAAATGAGAAGTATAAGGGGAGGAGACTGAATCCTGCAGAATTGGAGGAAAGAAGCAAGAGGGGATTATGCTTCAAGTGTGGAGACAAGTGGAATAGAAAGCACATTTGCAAATTCAAGCATATGAGCTTGAAATTATGTGAAAATAGTAGTGAGGAGGAAGAGGAAACAGGGGGAATAGGGATCCAAACAGAGGAGCTGGTGGAAGCAGTGGAGGAAATTAAAACATTGCAATTGTCCATGCAAAGTAGAGAGGGGTTTACTTCTAATAAGTCCTTCAAGGTATGGGTGAAGGTGAATGATAAAGAATTGATGACATTGATAGATTTAGGAGCAACAAGTAATTTTATTGATGCTAATTTGGTGGAAAAAATGGGGTTGGAGCTGATAGAAACTCCTCCTTATGTGATTGAGGTGGGAAATGGAGAAAAAGTTAAATATCAGGGAATTTGTGAAGGGTTAAGATTTCAAATGCAAGGGGTGAAATTTAACCAAAATTTCTTTTTAGTGGAGCTAGGTGGCACTGATATGGTGCTTGGGATGGACTGGTTGGCTAGCTTAGGGAACATAGAAACAAACTTTGGGGAACTGTGTTTGAAATGGGAGTGGGGAGGACAGAAGCACAGCATATAAGGTGACCCTGCCCTATGCAATCAACAAGCTTCTATGAAAGCCATGATAAAAGCTCTGAATGATGAAGGAGTGGGATTTTATGTGCAATCAATGAAGACTGCTACAACAGGTGACTGCACTGAGTTAGCAGAATGGGATGGGATATTACATAAATTTGAGGAGGTATTCAATCTACCTGCAGGACTTCCCCCTAGGAGAGAACATGATCATGCAATCCTTTTGAAACCTGATGCTGCAATTCCAAATTTAAGGCCTTATAGATACCATTTCTACCAAAAAAATGAAATAGAGAAGATTGTAGGGGAGATGTTACAGGCAGGAATTATAAGGCATAGTACTGGCCCTTTCTCCAGTCCAGTTTTGCTAGTAAAAAAGAAAGGTGAAGGATGGAGGTTTTGCACTGATTACAGGGCTTTAAACAAGGTGACCATACCTAATAAATTCCCTATACCTGTCATTGAGGAATTATTAGATGAGTTAGGAGGGGCTGTCATTTTTTCTAAGTTGGATCTGAAATCAGATTATCATCAAATTAGGATGAATGAGGAAGATATAGTAAGAGTAAATCAGGATACAATTAAGTTAGTGCTGCACATGGCCTGGCCAGGTGGCAGCAGCTGTTTAGTGGGAACACATAGGAATGAGAGAATAAATGATTGGGGAGGATCTATCGTTAGATTGTGCAGAATTTGAGTGGATTCATTCCCTAAGGAGAGATCAGGCCTCTCGAAGAGCCTCTGTCCTTTTTTTTTCTTCCACTTTCGTTATTTTCTGCAAACCTTGTACTACTAGATTCCATATGAACTCTAGTACTTCAATAAAAATCATTACTTTCCTTCTGATTTCTGTGTACTTGTTTTCTGTTTGCCTTGGATATTAAATTGATCTTATCCGTGGCTTCATCCGAGTAATTCCCAATCGCCTTCTTTAATTGTGAAACATGAAATTCATGGTGGACTCTTGCTTCATCATGCAACTTCCATTCCTAGGACAGTACTTCAATTCTTCAAACGATAGGAAATGGCCCAAAATACCGTGGTACTAGCTTCTGATTGATCCTCCTAGATATCCTCTGATGTCTGTGTTGCCTCAGTTTAAGGTACATCCATTCTGCCCCTTCAAAATTTACATCTCTCCTCTTATCTGCATACCTCTTCATTTGTTCCTAGGCCATGGCAAGATAATATTTGAGCTGTCTGAGAACCTCATCCCTGTCAACCAGCTCTGTTGCCACAGCCTCCATCCAGTCTCTCCCTGTGGGAGTTGAATTAAATCTGGTGGTTAGTGCCCATAGACACATGGAAGGTGGTGTTATACCACAGTTTAGCCCAAAACATCGAATAGGACCAGTTTCAAGGTTGTCGAGGAAAAACAACGCAACTAAGCTTCAAAGCACCAGTTTGCAACTTCTGTTTGTCCATCGGTCTCCGATTGATAAGAGCCCATTTATTGAAATATCGACCATAGAGGATGTCAGTGGCAGTTTTTGGCCCACCACAATGGACAATATCGTCCGATATCGTGGGTTTTTCTGCCCTAATCCGCTATGACGACCACTAAGCTGCCGGTATTACAGGAAACAAAACAATTCCTTCTAAGATGAACTAATAAACAGAGGGTCTTCATCATTTTGTCTTCATTGCTTACAATGGATTGAGGTTTGCCATCTAAGGGAACTACTGAACTATTTCTTTGGTGAAGACAATGGCTCAAGCTAAAACCAGGTTGTGATGTGGGATCCTGTTGCAAATCAGCCATAACTCTTATGTTGATAATTTTGAACCTCCTGTTTCACCTGCTATTCTTGCAACCAAACTGGGTATGAAGCTATCATCTTCAACCCATCTTCAAACATTCTTGACAGCTTGTTCTTTGGACCTGGTTTATATTTGACTTCAAATGGTAGTCCAACAGCTTGCTATCCAGGTTTGCTGGTCAGTAGGTCTGAGTATACTGCAAAATTTCTCCCTAATAGGTGCAATACGACCTCCAGTGCTGAGCGACCAACTCCAAGGCCATTAGTTCTTTCTCATAGGCTGATTCACCCAAATTATTTTTTGACAGAGCTTTGCTAAAATATGCCACGGGCCTCCTCCTTTTTTGCATAAACATAGCCCATGCTCCCCTTCTGTAGGCGTCACACTCTATTTCAAACGATTGGGAAAACTCTGGTTAAGTTAAAATAGGGGAGTTCAGCATGACTTGTTTCAACTCGAAGGCTTTGGGAGCTTTAGGACCCCCAAATGGAAGCCTTCCTTTTTTGTCAATTCCATTGGGGAAATCCCCCATGGTAGGAGCTTTGACCCCAATTGAAATGAGAATAAGGTATGTCACAGCAAAGGAAACCAGAGCTAAAGCTCCTACCAAAGAGGATTTCTCTCCTAATAAACTTGCAACACAATCTGAATGAGCCCTCATGTACCACTCACCCCCTACTAATCCCGAGCTCATCCCACTCGCTAATAGAATACCTGTGAATCTTTATCACAATCACTAACTAACTTCATTCGCCCCTTCTGTCCCTATTTTTTTCCAACCTGGTAAACCTTCCAAACTACAGGCCTTTTCGGATTCTGGCCCAAGTCAACCTGGTCCACATGCCCATGTTCCCTATCATTCTCTTTTATTTGTACTTAGACATCTTTAACTATGTAAATGATTAATTTGAGGGGATCAATCTAAATCTATTTTTCAGACTTTCGTTGAACTTTCCTTTATGGAAGCTGTCCGAGGATGCACCAAAACCATTACATTTCAAACAGATATGCTGTGTAACACTTGTGGTATGCTCATATCTTAATTAACATCTATATGTTATGAATTTAGGTGTCACTTCTATATTTAGTTCAGTTTGTAAGGACTATGTATGCACCTTGAAAATCACAAATTTTCTCTTTTGCTGAAATGTTGCAGGTGGGAGCGGGGTTCCTCCTGGTACAAGACCTGAAACCTGCAAACGCTGTAAAGGATCAGGAGTGGTGAGTATTGTCTAACTCAATTAAAATTTACAGTGTTCATATTTGTTTGTTTTCATTTTTTTTGTTTTGTTAATTTGATGGCTATGTTTTCCAGACATCTGTACAAGCTAGCATATTTAAGATGGAGACTACATGTGGTGCATGTCAGGGAACCGGCAAAATTGTATCGGTATGGTGCCCAAGTCGATTGTTTTCAGATGAATTTTATCATTTTTTAGTTTATTGTATTCTGATGTCTGGATTTTTCTAGTATTCATGTAACATGCATATTGTTGATCATTTTTTTTCTTCTTAATTGGAAGTAATCGATCATTAGAGCATTTTGCCCCTGAAGGTGTGCCAGTGTCAAGTGTGTTTTAGTTTATGAAGATAGGGATACCAAACGTAGTACAGACTTTTTGTTGATGATAGATAGTCTTGGAGTTCGGAGATGAGTTCGACTAAAATTTAGAGATATGGTGAAAAGTATGTAAACATCTTTCAATCAATATAGAAACACATTGCTTCAACCAATATAGAAGTAGAATAGAGTTTATGTAATTCAACTTAGCTAGAACTAGCAAATTTTAAGTAAGGTGAAAATTTGAGAACATACAATACTATACAAGAAATCACATGTTTCTTTTGTTAGTCTAATCTAAGAGCTATTTTACTCAACAAAAGAGTATCTTAGATCCATAATGCTGAATGACAGTGATAGAGGTATTTCAACTATAGGATTCAAAGAGGGTTGATGCTTTGGAGGAATGTTATATAATGGTAACATGTGACAGGAAAAATGGAAAATATCACTCAAGCATTTAAGAAATTTATATTGCACAATTGTAAGACTTGCAATGTTGTGTGCAACTGAATGTTGAACGGTACAATGACAATAAGTGAACTTAAAATCACAGGGATGAGAATGTAATGAATGATGATAATGATTGATGAGTGGTTACGCAAGACAAAATAGGATTGCAAATATAATCATTAAATAAAAAATTGGTTTAGCAATCGTTGTTGGTAGGTGCATGAATCTCCTCCTCTTAGGTGGTTTAGAGATGAATAGTTAGGGACTACCAGTAGCACTAATAATAACATTACACTAGATGTAGGGCAGTCTAATAGTTTGAGGTAGAGGGAGACCGAATAGCAAAGCTCTATTTTTGCTGATTCTAAGGTGTCTCCTTATTCAAGGGGGTACACCAGTCTTCCTCTAATAGTAATAAAGAATTGGCAATATAAATCTGCGCAGTTCATTGTTTTAAATAATAAATCAAGGATCAATGAAAGAAGGGATCACTGGTTAAGGTCTAAATATAGGTAGTTTCGTCTAAACCACCTATATATTTAGACCTTATATGTGACATGAATGTATGACTTGATCAATCCATGTAACTGACTTCATATAGACACGGTGGTAGTTGTAGCTTTTTCCCCCTCTTGCATTAATTTCTGTAAATAATATTAATAAATCATAATCATAGTAATAGATAATGCAAGGCTCAAATTGAAGCATATTGATATAGCTATGCCTGGTTTTTCATACAAATAGCTAATACTGCGTACAAATAGTAATAATTTTTTTTTCGTAAACAGAGTTTCTGCAAGTCATGCAGGGGTGCAAAGGTTAACAAAGGAACAAAGTCAATCAAATTGGATATTATGTCCGGTAACCATTTTTTAAAGAATTTTCTGGTTCATCGTTATTATGTGAATTGTGTTCATATGGCTTATAATGAGAATTCATCTCATTGACCAATTTCCTAGGCGATTGTGCTCACTTGTCTCTCTCTCTCTCTCTCTCTCTCTCTCTCTCTCTCTCTCTCTCTCTCTCTCTCTCTCTCTCTCTATATATATATATATATATATATATATATATATATATATATATATATATATATATATATATATTCTTGCAAGTCATTTTACAATAACAATGAATCATTCATGATACTTTTTCTACTATACCCTTAAATATTTATTATTCTCTTTCAATTCTTTTAATTTATCTTTCTCATACTATTAATAAAGGATTCTTTTGTAAAATCTTCTGTTTCATACAACAATAATGACATTTTTTAATATCTGTGGAAGTGTCAAAATGACTTATAATAGAAAAACTGGCGGGAGTGTCAAAACGTGAGGCAATGTGTCTTCTCTTTTACTTTATTTAAATGCTTCAAAAAATTATATGTACCTGATATAGTGAATTTTTTTGTTCAAACAAGAAAGGAAGATTATACTAGATAACTCCACTAACCATAAGATCCCGCTTTTCCGACTGAGATTTGTTTCTCAGTTTCTCCAATATATATTAATATTAATATTAGGACTAATTATAAAGCAAAAGAAACTAGCAAATTGGCAATTCCTATATATTGTGCATGACAGTTCAGAATTCTAATTTTTGAGTAATTTGAAGTAACATTGACTGACTGTCTTTCTGATGATAAATTTGACTCTACCAATTATGGTGTTAAAAAAAGGCACTTATTAATATTTGCCTTTTCATTTTGGGCATGCATTGTGTTCAATTAGGAGTCACGACATTTGGACAAAAGTTCACTGCTGTACACATTTACATTTGCATTTATGTTTAGACTTTCACTTACATTTATTTATACATTTGAAGGGATTGACAACAATGAAACCATTAAGGTTTTCAGAAGTGGTGGTGCAGATCCTGATGGAGATCACCCTGGTGATCTTTATGTTACTATAAAGGTAAAAACATTAATCTCTTCGTAGCTTCAAGGTCATTTTTCCTTTTCTTTTGTATCTCTTCACAGGCCCAATTATTTCTCGTCCTTTTCTTACTTGCAGGTCAGGGAAGATCCTGTTTTCCGTAGAGAAGGATCTGATATTCATGTCGATACTGTTTTAAGTATCACTCAGGTAATGTGCCTTAATGAAGAAAAATCTCGACTCCATAGCTTGTGCCTAGTTTTAATTTTTTGTTCTCTGTTGGGGTCCTTGAACGCGACACCAACGAGTTACCTAATGCTTAGCCGTTGTGGTGTTTCCCCGGGCTATGCATGGATATTCCAGTAATAACGGAATATCATTTGAATTGAAAGAGATGGCTGGGGCAAAGAAATGAGGATGGGATGAGAAATGGTCACATCTGTTTTTTTGCTAGCAACTGGATAAAAGAAAAAACACTTTTTAGCAGTAAAAAGTTAATTCATTTTTGGGGTTGATTTACTTAAGTCCTTGTTATGTCCCAAGTCGATTTAAGGTATCAAATGGAAGAATTGTATGATGTTACGAGGCTACCTTCACTACTTTTTCCTTCAGCAATTCCACCACATGCTATTGAGTAGGGTGTTCATTTGTACTTCGTGATTTAAATCATGTGACAATAGAACTGGTGAAATTGAAGTAGCTCTGCCAGTTATAGATCTTCACATAAAACTTGTGAATTTGAGAGTTTGGTAGTTTGAAATTTCTTGATTGGCTTGGAGTCTTTAGACATATAATAGGATTTGGGGGGCAATTATCTATTTGCCTCCCCTATTTGTGTTTATTAATTTTGGACTGGCAGTGTTTGATACTGGATGCTCTATCTTCAGACATATTCTAGATCTCAAACATGTCTTCAGTTGTATGTGTTGCTTTATGATAGTACTGAATACCACTTAAAAATAATCTAAAACCAGATTTTTTTCCCTTCTTTTTTCAGGCAATTTTGGGTGGAACCATTCAGGTCCCAACTCTTACTGGCGATGTTGTTCTTAAGGTTTGTGTTGTTCTTGCAGCATTAATTTTATGATATTTTGGTTTTAGTAACTCATAAAAGGTGGTTCTGTTTGGCAGGTGCGTCCTGGAACACAACATGGTCAGAAGGTGGTTCTGAAAAAGAAAGGTGAGCAAGTTTATAATGTTTATGGTTAATATTTTACGGGAAACATTTTAAAGAAAGCATTGTGATAATACACCTGAAAAATTCCACGAATCTGTTTCATGGATTTTTAGAAGATCTTAGTTTGTGATCATCTTTTTATTATCATTAACTCGTTTGTCTTCCTCCTGGCAGGGATCAAGACCAAAAATTCTTATTCATTAGGGGATCAATACGTTCACTTCAACGTCAACATCCCAATGTGAGTGTTAAATTTGATGCCACTATCCAAAGGTGTTTTATGAACTATACTAACACAACTAGAAAGACAGTATTTTTCGAATGGTAAAAGCCCTTTCTAATGGAAAATAACTAGTTGAAAACCATTTCTGGTGGAAGAGTGCCTAAGAAATTAGTTCCAATGAAAATGACCAACATAAAGCTTTCTGGTAGGAAATGCCTGTTGAAACACGTAAAATATCCAATGGGATCGGGACCATCGGTACAAATGCTTGGGAAATAGTTGTTTCTTTTGTGGTTCTAATATGTATGATACTTTTTCTGTATGATGGATATTTAAGTGACTGTTTCTGTAATGTTCTGCAGAAACCTGACAGAAAGGCAGCGTGAATTGATTGAAGAGTTTCAGAAGGAAGAAGATGAATCTTCTGATAAAGGGAAAGCTGCTTCTGGTTGAAAACATTTACTATCAAATTTTGCTTAACTGGGCAGAAAGCTGTCTGCAACTCAAGTTTTGTCGAAGTATTAACTATTATTTTTTATTTTCCTTTTTGCCCCTCTCTTATTATATGTAATATATCTCAGTCATAAGAGATGATCACAAATTCTCAATTCATTTTCAAGGTTAGTAGACAGTCCCTTCATGCACCTCTAGACTGGAGTATCCATGTATATATATTCCTTAACATAAAGTGGGGCAAGTCATGAATTGTCATTCTTTTTTCTTCTATCATAAATAGAGGAACCTTGACATTATTGAGGCATGGACCAACTAGTTGATAATTTCTGCATCATACAAAGAAATGGACCAACTAGTTGATAATTTCTGCATCATACAAAGTGATGGACCAACTAGTTGATAATTTCTGCATCATACAAAGAGATATCTATATTTTAATGTCAATATCAATCTAGTATTACTAGGAATAGAGTGCTTTACATTTTTGTTATATTAAAATTAATCTTGCCAACATTTCAAAGTTTACTATATTAAACATTATGGTATCATACACCACGAATAAGTATGAATGGATTGAAATTGCACTCGATTATGCAGATTAATCTTTAACAAAGTTACTAGTGTTTTGCCTCTAATTTAAACTCACTTTTTATTTTGTATAAAAGGTGTATAGATTTAAAATTCATTTAATTAATAAAGTGTTTGTAAATTCAGCACATTCATTCTTTAATTTGTAAATATTAAGTTAAACTTTTTAGTAATTTTGAAAAAATGGAAATAGATTTCTTACTTTTTTTTTGGATTGAATTTTATTCTTTTTCCATATTGTGGGGAGTTAGTTGTTACGTCTAATCTATCCAACATTATTTGAGTAGTGGTGGACGTCGGTCTGGACCTAGTTGCAAAACCATGGACTTGAGATTTTTTCTAAGAATCTTTTAAATTAAATTGTTTAAGTTATCTAAGATCAAATCAATATTCCACATGATTAAAGCCTACTACTGCTGCTTAGACTTTAAAGTCAGTCTGAAATGCTTGAATTTCATTTTGTCAACAGTTCATAAAGACAATTTTTTCAATATCAAGTGTAAAGTTAGACCAAAATCTTGTATTATTTGATACTACTATTTTGACAATAATTGAAGTTTTTTCGGAGACTAATCCTTATTCAGAGGCAAGCTATAAATGCATTTTGGGAACATGAAGTGTTGTACTTTAGCAGGTTTTCTTCCCTTTTAAGTTTCTGCTACAAAATTTTGGTTAATATAGTGTTCTGTTATATGCAAATTATGTCTTATAGAAAGTTATCAACATCAAATTAGAAAAGTATAGACATGTTTTTTTTGTAAGGTAAGATGATGACAGTTCGAGTAAATTTACTTGTATAGCACTTGAAAAGTAGTTTTAAGTCTTATTTTGACAGCGCTAGTTTGATTAGTTAAGAGTCAGTTTGGATAATGTGTTTTAACGGTTACTTCCCAAACATGAGAAGTTGAAATGAATCAGTTGTGGATTTAAGTGCCAATATAAAAACTACAGTAGAAGCTAAAATTGCATGTTATATTTTAATGATAAAAATGTCAATTATTTCTCTTATCAAAGAATGTTGGTGTTTCACAAAAATCAACAATAAGGGATGTCTCAATGTCCTCCTACCTACTATTTGGTCCTCCTACTCATATGATAATAACTCACTACCACACTACATAAGAAAACAATGTGTATAACTGTGCATCATTTTGAAAATATTCTAGAATCTTTGGTGATAATGAAAATTATGCCTTAACTTCTTTGACCATTAATGCATTAACATTTTACTATTAAAACAAACAACATTCTTTTTTGATTTTGAATCTCAACCTTTTAAAATAAAATTAAGTCAATATAGAAATAAAAGGCAAGCGGGCAACAAACGAGTATGTTTGTATGAACAATTTTGATACTCTAATATTTGTGATTTTTAGTATTTAACAAACAAGTTTTGTTTCTGATGAAAGGCGTGTTAAGTTATTAGAAGAGACTAAATTCTGCTTCTGCGCTACACAAGTTCTGATGAACGGTAGTAAATCACTTCAGAAGTCTTTGAAATTTAGACTCTAATACGCGATCAAAGAAACCAAATTCTGAAGATTTGAAGACAAAAGTTCTGATGAATAGTCCAGATGATGAAGACTTATGTTTATGAAGACAAAGGATTCTGAAGACCAAGTGTTGAAGACTCTGAAGACTCTGAAGACTTGAAGTTTTGATGATCTAAGTTTTGTTTTTTTTCTTCTAACTCATGCTCAGTCAGAAGTCTCTAAAGTCAAGAAGATAAGAAGATAAAGTTACGTGGTACAATAGTACATGATACAAATAAATGTTCTTTTCCACTATCATGAAAGGGCGGATGCGTTGTACGATCTTGTCATCCACGTTGAAACAAGATGCCATCTTTCTAGAATTTTTAGAAAAGCCCTCCAACGAATATATATATATATATATATATATATATATATATATATATATATATATATATATATATATATATATATATATATATATATATATATATATATATATATATATATATATATATATATATATATATATATATATATATATATATATATATATATATATATATATATATATATATATATATATATATATATATATATATATATATATATATATATATATATATATACATATATATATGCTTGAAGATAAAGGTAAAAGATTGCTAATTCATACGTTCTCTCATAAGATTATTCAAAAGCGTTTCTTTATTTTCTGAAGTCTAGTGTTCTTGAAATATTATTTACTATCAACTTGTGTAGAAGTAAATCTATTATAAATAAATCTTTTTCAAACTGTTGTTTGATTGTATCTTAAGGGATCAGTTGGTCAGTATCCTTGAGAAGTCTAAGATTAGTGTGTCTTAGAGGTTGTACGTGAGTCACTTACAGTTAGCTTGTGCATTATAATAATCTGTGAGATTATTGGATTAAGTCCTTGTTTGATAAGGTGAAATCACCTTGGCGGATGGACTAGATTACCTTGATAAATTTCAAGTGAACTAGTATAAACATAACTTATTCTTTCCTTCTTGCATATTTAGTATTATTATCAATAGTGAAGAAAACTATTTTTAGTTAAAGGGAGTTCTTTTAAGAAAAAATTTTGATTTAAAACTCAATTCAAATCTCGTGTCTTGTGTTTTTCACACCTTCAGTTGGTATCAGAGTCTGGTCCTGAGTAATAAAAAGTTTGAATTTTTATCAAGCACTTAACAGTGTTAAGTATCGATCCGACTGTGTGAAAAATAATGGCAAACAACACTAACAACATTGTCATTGTTGATAATAAGGATAAGGATATAGACAAATATATTGCGAAATCTCTTATCTTTGACGGGAAAAAGTTTGACTATTGGAAGGATAAAATTGAAATTTATTTTTTGGGATTTGACTTAGATCTATGAGATCTGATAGTTGATGGCTACAATTATCCAATAGATGATGAAAGTAAACAGATTGTAAGAAGTGCAATGTCAGATGCTCAGAAAAAACTTACAAGAACCACTACAAAGCTAGAACAATTATGCTGAGTACTATTTCTTACAATGAGTATGAGAAGATCACAAATAGAGAGAAAGTCTATTTTTGATTCTCTTCAATGACTCATGAAGGTAACACTCAAGTTAAGGAGATAAAGACTCCAATCCTAATCCAGAAATATGAAGCCTTCAGAATGAAAGACGGTGAATCTTTGGAAACTATGTTTTCAAGATTCTAAATGCTTGTTGCAGGACTCAAGGTTATGAACAAAGGATATTCTACTACAGATCATGTCAAGAAAATTATCAGAAGTCTGGCTAAAAAATGGAGATCAATGGTAACTGCCTTGAAGTTGTCCAAGGATCTAAACAATGCTAGTCTTGAGGAACTAATCAGTTCTTTAAGAAGTCATGAGATTGAACTTCAAGAAGATGAACCTCAAAGAAGAGGTAAATCTCTGAAGTATAAGTCTGAAAAGACAAAGGCTTTTCAAGTTGAAGAAGAATCTCAAGAAGATTTAGATGAAGATGAACTTTCTATAATATCCAGAAGGATACACCAGCTATAGAAACATAAACAGAGCAAGTTCAGAGGACCAAGAAGAACAAAAGGTAGATCTGAATCTACATCTGGTCAGAAGAAAGTTTATGAAAAAGAAGTTACATATTATGAGTGCAAAAAGCTTGTACACTACAAAAATGAATATCTAAAGCTCAGAAAAGACAAGAAACCCAAGAAGGTTTTTAAAGAAAAGAAGGATCTCATGGCAACATGGGATGATTTAGAGTCAGAAGAGGAAGATTCTGATGAAGAACATGCTAACATGACACTCATGTCCAAAACAAGTACAAGTGAAGTTATCTAAGAGCGTAAGCTGACAACTGCTGATGAGTCAGACTCTGACGATGAAATAAAGGTATTTTATTCTCTTTCTCGTATTGAACTTGAGTCTTGTTTATCAGAAGTGATGGAAAAATATCAACTTATTTTAAGTAAACACAAAACTCTGAAAAAGACTTTTGTAGTTACTTCTGGGAACTTTACTAAGAGTGAGAAAAACGGTTCTGATTTAAATGAAAAGATATTTGCTTTAGAAATCAAATCTTGCTCTTAAAATTAAAGTGTCAAAGTTGGAAGAAGAGATCACTTCTAGCACATCTATTACTGATGAAGTAATCAGATATGGTAGAGCTTTTAATCACTTCCTAGCTAAAAGGATAGATAGAAGAAAGATGACTTCAATGATCTATGGTGTTAGCATAAACGGAAGGAGAGGCTTGGGATACTCAGGACCATCAAAAATAATTGACGAGACTCTGATTGTCAAACCAAAACCTCTTTCTAAACATTTCGTGTTTGCTGGCACTAAACTGAACTATTCTGAACAAGAAGGTTCTGATTCTATTAAATCACAACCACGGAAACAGAAGAAAACTTCTAAACCCAAATATCATG